GAGAACAGAAATACTTCCGGAGACACTTTTGATTGGATGTATTTCTGGCATCAAGTATGTAGTGACCGTGGATTCCACCAAACATCTAATATGCGGGGCAGCACCCTCAACAAAGGATTATTCGGCCCCAGTGTTGGTAATGCCGAGGTTGACTGTTACCATACCAGCTCCCTCTTACTTCCACTCTGCAGAGTCAAATCCTTTGAGGGAAGAATCCACGGGCCAAACATGAATGAGTTGCCGAGAGTCTAGAAACTCCAAAATTAAATGCTAATGTTATACCTGTGTATAATGTTTGTTTTCTGGGAAGAAGAATGCGAGAACAGGCTAGCTGAGAGCTACGAAGCTGGGCCTTGGGCAGCCCTGTAAGGAAGCCTTACAGTAAGGAGTATACAGACACTTAGCAGGCAAAACCCACAGCCCAGATGCTTTGAGATACTTAGCTGAGCATCCACCGACAGTCCCATGAGTGCTCACACCTCCCTCGGAACGTGGGCAAACTGAGCTCCACAGACAAAAGCCTACTCATTGCCTTCGCCTTGGTAGCTCCTACAAAAAGGAAGACAAGGGATTCCAAGAGATGGGCAGGGGTCTTGGTAGGTACGTTGGGATTATCTGCCTCTGGGAGCTGGTTAATCCCCAATTGATCATAGATCTCGCCTCCTTTCTCCTCATGACTCCCTGGATAAACTGAGGCCTCAAGCTCAGGGTTAGAAGTGTGTGGAGAGCCTCATACCCAGGCCCCACCTCTGCTGCTCCCCTGACCAGCCTCCTTAACAGAGATAGGATTTATCAATGTGAGAGGCAATTTCACTCTATCATGTCAGGGACAGGGAAAAGAGATAAAAGGACATTTGACTCCCTGCTGTCAGCCAGGGATGCTAATGAATCCTTTGCTTCCGAAGACGATAATCGGACGGAATAATTCATCGCTAGAGATTAATTGGACTAATTGTGTTGGCTCTCAGAATCCCCTGTATAATTATTTGTACTGGGCCAATGTCAGTGATAATCATGTGATAGGAGTCTCATCCCCTATGGGAACATCCCACAGAACAGGATGCCTGGGTTTGAATGGGCAGGTGTAAATGACACAGACAGCCACGTTTCAGCTCTGATCCAGTCATGAAATGCCTGTGTTTTGTGTTTTAATCCTTTATTCAGGGAAATAAGACCATCTGTTAAATCCCAAATCACCTTCTACATTCCTTCATTTCCTTCTCATTTGTCACCACCTCCCAGTCCTTTTGGACTGATATTGCTCTTAGGAAGAGTTAGTCCTGCTCCAGGCACACCTAATGTGCTTTGTCTCCTTAACACAACCTTCTCCACCCACCCCACCAAGGAGCTGAGAGCCCAGGCCCAGCAACAAGGCAAGCCCTGCTCTGTTCTGTTTAGCCACACTTCTACAATATCTCCATATTTAAGTGAGCAATCTACCGCCAAGCTCTATCAAAACAAAGCTTGAATAGCTCGCAACCCACGAGCCATCATAACTCCATGTTCTGTGGCAATTAGATACACTATGGCCAGGTGGTCTCTTTGGCCAGTGGTGCACAGGTGAACTGGGAACATGCTACTGAGACAGGGAGGGGAACATGGGGATCCCTGCTCCCCATCTGCCCATGTTTGAGGATAGGGTTTGGAGAAATGGACTTCTCACCTTACCTTCCCTGTCCATGAAAGAAGCTGAGCTTCAAGAAAGAATAAACTGATTGTCTTTGAACTTTGATCCAAGATTCAGGGCTGGGTAGACTAGTATAGCTTTACAATAGATGGTTATAAGCTAAATTCCTGACTGCTTAATGACTGTGTTGAGCTTACGCAAGGATCTTTATGTTCAAAAGTCTCATCTTCTTTCATGGTAAATGACGTAATTACATTTACTTTTCCCGAAGATGCAATTAGCTAGCACACATTAAGTACTAGTACAGGGCCTGCTATCTGGTAGGGACTCAAATGCTATCATTGATGTTACTGTAATTATCCCATGCAGGGAAGCAATACCTGCTTCTCTTTGGTTACAACCTGGTTGTCTCCCAAGGGTCCTCAGCCCTGAGCTCTTGTTAGTCCTACAAGGATCTGGGGAAGGACACATAGTAGATATGTACTAGGCCAAGAGCTTCTTTCTAGTTCTCCCCCTTACAGTGAGGAGCAATTGTTAAAAACCCTTGCAAGATGGCTACCCAGATTCAGTCAGCAAAATAAAATCCTTAGATGGAAGACCAGTGGTCATTCCAAGTAACAGTTCATGTAATTGTAGCTATCTTGGTAAAGGAAACCTTCCTGATGTACTCACACACAGACCTCTGAAGAGAGGATGAACATTACCAAATTTGTAAGGAGCTGAAAGGTTTCTGTTAATGGGTAACTATGCATAATCAAAAATGCATTGGGAGACAGGAAGGAGCTTGGGAACTGAGTGGCAGAGCAGCTGTCGACGGAGCTTTGTGCTGTGGCAGCAAGTGAGCCTCCTCCCGTCATCAGCGATTCCTGCTGTGGACAGGGGCACCAGAGCGCAATCTGAGGCTGGCAAGAGAGGTTGGGCAATTCTCCAGGAAGAAAAAGATGTTTGCTGCCCAGAAGCCAACTTAAGAGCTCTTTAGGAAGCAAAGGCAGCCAGATAAGTAGCAAAAAGAAAGCCTACCCACAGAGGCTTTGACAGTGGGCAGTTGGTGCAGGGTGGCGACACCAGGCAGATGGAAGTAAATGCAACCTTGCAACAAAGTCATGAGGTTTTAAATATAAGGAAATTGAGTTAGGAAATGCTGGCGATATGGACAAAGTATCCGGGGGCTGGAGAGATGGCAACAGTTAAGGGCATGGGTTCTTGCAGAGGACCTAAGTTTGGTTCCCAGCACCCAAATCTGGAGGCTCACAATGCTAGCTCCAGGGATCAGACTTCTTTTAGCCTTCCCAGGCACTTGCACACATATGTATCCCTCTTAGCACAATTAAAAATAATAAATCTTTTCTTTAAAAAAAAAGTATCTAGTAGCCAGCCGGTGGTGGTGCACATGTTTAATCCCAGCACTCAGGAGGCAGAGGCAGGTGGATCTGTAAGTTCAAGGCCAGCCTGGTCTACACTGTGAGTTCCAGGACAGAAAGGGCTACATAGAGAAACCCTGTCTCAAAAAAAAAAAAAAAAAAAAAAAAAAAGTTCTAGTGAAGCTCACAGTGGGGCATTTCAAGGCCAGGAGCTGGAGACTTGTTCCCCAAATATTCAAAATGGAGTGAAACAGCTATTTGGGAAGCTGAATTAGGAGTAAGATGAGTTCCAGGCCAGGCTGGGCTATACAGTGAGTTCGAGGCAAGCCTTTAGAAATTAGTAGCTCAATTCTCTGTACCATTAAAACAAAACACCCAAAACCAGACAGAATCTTTGAATTTCCTAAAGCTTAATTACATTGCTTACCGAACACTTTAACTAAATGAATTGGTACATTGGTGAGGACATAGGGAAGGCATGAGGGAGAATTTTGGAACATGGTGCACTATGGGGAGAGAGCAAGGACCTCTGCAAAGGAAAATCTGGAGGGTTGAAGAGGGGCTGATGCAGGAGAGGGGGGTGACAGTGATGAGTGCCAGTCACACTTGTACTTAGGGCCAACATTCTCCAACACCCCTCTCTCCTTTAGGAAGGGCTCTGTTGATTTGCAGAAAAGTCTCTGGCACCATTCTGCAGAAATCAAGTCCAGCTGTGTTCAGGGGTGTTTTGGTTCACAGCAACCTTCAAGACACAAGGTCAAGGGTTTCCTCTTGTGTGAGTGACACATCCGCACAGTTCCAGCCCAGGGCATTCAGAAGAATGGGCCGAGCACACCGTGGATTCTGGGTGCTCAAGGCCTGCTCTGCCAGAAACAGGCTGGGTTTCCTGGACCTGTTTTTCACTCTTACGATAAAATCATTCCAAGCTTTGTAGCTTCTACTGGGAGACCTATCCATGCCTTGATTATCACCTCATGGAAATGAAGTACTGGCTGCAGGGCCAAAGGGATGGGCAGGGATTGTCATTGAAGATTCTCCTTCGGGCTATGGTAATGGATCCTAGACACTCTGGCTTCATCCCAGGAAGTATCAGGTGTTCAGGAAGCCAGATAGGGGTGGAAATTAACAGATACACCCAAACATGGGTTAATAGACACCTTGGCAGGACTACAAGCTGTTTCCTTCCAGAATCACCTGGGGGAGGTGAGACCTAATCTGCCTCACAGCCTCAGGGCTGGGAAACACAGGCATGGGTCTGGAAATCCTGAACATACAGGAAGGGGCAGATGCAGAACAGCACGGTTCAATTCAACAAACACTAGAACTCAAGATAAATGTTTCTCAGCCTTTAGACAGTGTTTAGCCTAATCTTCAAAGATCATGGTTCCAAAAAATGGTATTTGAAATTCCCATTTTGTATACTGACAAAATATTAATATTTACAAACCTGTTTTATTTGCTTTCTTGTTTGTATTTTTCAAGACAGGGTTTCTTTATGTAGGCCTGGCTGTCCTGGCACTCACTCTGTAGACCAGGTTGGCCTTGAACTCACAGAGATCCAGCTGCCTCTGCCTCCTGAGTGCTGGGATTACAAGTGTGTGTCACCACCACCTGGCAAAAACTTAGTGTTTTAAAAAGCTACATAAAGGAATGATTAGAATGAACCACATTATACTAGATTAGGGTTGGAAAAGTCTATATTAGTTGATGTTTATTTATACATCAAGCTAATACCTACTCACATATTACTATAGATCATTTATCATAGAGACATGGTCATACAGACACACATCCTTCTAATTTCACCAACTGGAAGGACCCAGAAGCAGCAACATTTTAGTAGCAATGAACACACCCCGATCATAGGTCTTAGCTTCTAATGCCTCCTCCAATCAAAGCAACAAGGGTTCTTTAGAGAAATGGCTGATTCTTGGAGCACTGAGGCAAAGAATATAGCAAATGAGTGTAGAGAATGTTATAGGGCCAGATGATAAAGAAATTTAATATTTCAGAGGTAGAAGCAGCAAGCAGAAATGGGTCGGATTTGGTGAGCGATTGAACAAATGCAGGAGACAGAGAGACAAAGGAGAAACGGTAAGAGAGCTGCAGGACAAGCCAGCCTGGCCAGTCTAGATGGGAATCCTCCACCATTTCCTGGTTTATCCCTAAGGATCAAGACTGTTGCAGAATTCTCCAAACCCCCACCCAGCAAAATGAACAGCACAATAAACTCAACCTCATCTACCAATTGAGAAATACACTGCTGGACTACATCTCAGAGGGTAAGAGAAATACCGAAAGTCCATGCTGATATACAACAAGCACTCAGTAAATAAGTAGGGAAAACTGTGTGTGTTTGTGTGTGTGTGGCACACGCCTTTAATCCCAGCACTTGGGAGGCAGAGGCAAGTGGATCTCTGTGAGTTCGAGGCCAGCCTGATCTACATAGTGAGTTCCAGGACAGGCTCCAAAGATACACAGAGAAATCCTGTCTTGAAAAACCAAAACCAACCAACCAACCAAATAAACAAATATATAGGGAAAACAATCTTCCCTACAGAAGAATCACAATAATTTATGCATTTGATCTATATAATGATGTGAACCAGTACTCAGTGTCCTGTCTCCTTCTCTGTACCACAACCAAGCACAGCCTCTTTGGGAGGCACAGAATGGAGCAGTCAGAGACCAAACTCCCTTCCCATCACTTTTCTAGTGCAAAGACTTCAAGCAAATCACATAACCCTCTCGGTCTCAGTTTCCTCATCAGCAGGAGGAGGACAAAAAGCATTCCAACCTTGTAGGCTTCTCGCATGGAGCCAATAAATGTAATGCGCTCAGAATAGTTCAGATGCATAGTAAGTGTGCAATAGCACTCAACAATTGATTAGCCTGGCCTGGAGGCAATCAGGACGCAGGTGCCAAGAATGAAGAGGTCAATGGAGACAGAAGAAGGTAAAAGGCAGGTGACAGTCAGGCTGGGCATGTAGCTCAGTGGTACAACATTTGCACAGTGTATGCAAGGCCCAGGGTTCCGACCCTATCAGAGAAGGGTGAGCAAGGAGGAGAAAGGCGGAACAAAAGGAAACAGCACAGTGCTTGCTTGGTACAGGAGGCCCTCAGGGATGGCCGCCAAAGAGGATGGAGTTATGCTGAATCTCTGTGCCCTTCACAGGTGGGAGGAGCTTCAAGCCGCCACTTGCCTCCAGGTGCTTCACTTCCCCAGATGCACACTGCTAATTGCAAGCCCCCAGGTTCTTGTTCTCCAAACACCTCCACCCGCCTTGGGAGACAAGTTGTGAATGAGACCACTACCCAGCTTGGCTAAGGGAAAGGTGTGGAGAAGACCAGCTGCTGCCCTCTGCCGCAGCGCGGGAGGGCAGTGAAGGAGGGGCTTTATTTGGGTGACTGCCGAAGCAGGCAGAGGTAAGGTACATGGCAGCCTCCCCCAGGGGCTAACCCCCACCGGCAGCCCTCAGCTAGTCAACACCCGAGTTTCCCCACCTCAGTCTCCGCTAGAACATCCTCCTCCCCTGCATCCTGGCTGGAAGCAGATGGTGGGGAGGGGCTGCCAAACCCTGCCTTACACCCCTGGGCCTCTCCCCACTGCTGGCAGGTCCTTCCTTGAGGCTTTTCAGTTTGAGATAAGTGTGCAAAGCTTCAGCTGGGAAGGAGACATGGAGGGAGGAGGCGCCCTGAGACTGAACAAGCGGTGAGATTGCGAGTGGGTGGTAGGAAGCAATGCATTTACAGGGATGAATGGAGCGCGCCACTGTGGGAAGCAGCCTCTTCTTCTGGAGGCTGGATGAAGTCATAAAGCTAAACAAAATCGCGATAAAGTTACTCCTTCCGTACACTTGCTTTCCTTCCTTCCTCCTTAAAGGCACTGTAGCCTCTACCATCATTGCCAGGGAGTTAATAAGGGCTAGCAGGGGTGGGGAGTGGGGGGTGTAGTTCAGTTGGCAAAGAGCTTGTTGCACAACATGAGGAGCTCAGCTCCACCCCCAGACTCCACATTTTTTTTTTAAGATTTTATTTATTATGTATACAATGTTCTGCCTGCCTGTATGCCTGCAGGCCGGAAGAGGGCACCAGATCTCACTATAGATGGTTGTGAGCCACCATGTGGTTGCTGGGAATTGAACTCAGGACCTCTGGAAGAGCAGTCAGTGCTCTTAACCTCTGAGCCATCTCTCCAGCCCCAGACTCTACATTTTAAGAATGTGCAGGCTGGTGGTAAGCATTTGTAGTCCTGGCACCAGGAGAGCGAATACAGGTGGATCTGTAGGTGCTGGCTGTCCAGCCTACCTAGCTCATTGGATGAACTCTGTGCTGGTAAGAGACTCTGTCTCAGAAAATCAGGTGAACAGCACCTGAGGAATGACACCTGAGATTGACATCTGGCCTCTATGTGCATATATACACAGATGAATACACACACACACACACACACACACACACACACACACACACACACCAAACAAAACCAAGAACGTGCGGTTCAAATATGATTGCACTGGTTACCAACTCTTCATAGCAGATAAAAGCTTTCTCTGTGTTTCAACATCAATGCTGGTTAGTTTTTGTTATGCTAACACAAACTGGGGAATTGAGGAATGCCTCCAAGAGTTTGATCTGTGGGATAATTTCTTGGTTAGTGATTGATGTTGGAATGCCCCCCCACCCACCAGCTGTGGGCAGTGCCACCTCTGGGTAGTCCTGAGTTATATGAGAAAGCAGGCTGAGCAAGCAAGGGAAACAAGCCAGTGAGCAGCACTCCTCCTTCCAGCCTCCAGGTTTTCCCCTTAGGCTTCCCTCAATGATGGCTCTAAACTGGAAGATGAAATTAACCCTTCTTACCCAGTGCTTTTGAGAAGCTAAATAGGGCAGCGTCCTCCAACCCTATTTATAAAATGGAGGCAGAAGCAACTGTCTCAGAATTATGCTGTACTAACCATTGCCTGGTTTGGGACAGTGACTTAATATGCAGAAGGAATTGCATCATCAGCCATTGCTGGCTCTTTTCCAGGCTCTCACGGGCCATTCAGGATGGTCAGAAGGCCTGCTTGCAGTAGGGGCTTTAGCTGAGAAGTAGGAGACCTGGGTTTGAGTCCTAGGAAGAGGCATGAACTCAGCGGTTTAAGTTCAGAATGCAGCTCCCATGTCTGCACTGGAACAATACTCACAATGCCTACTACAGGGGGAGTATGAGACAATGAGAATACACATGGTGGGGGACATTGTTTTTTGTTTTTTTTTTTTAATTTGGGTCTCTGTGTATTTAACTTCCCAGTTCCCTGGGGTCTTCAAGGACACTGAGTAGGAGCAAGAAGCAGAGCCAGCTGTGTATCTGGTGAAAGTTTCCAGCTCTTAAGGAGATTTGGAGGCTGAGAAGAGACTACCCATGAGAGAAGATTCGAGAAAGCAAGATTCTCTTGGTTCTGGAAGGAATGGAGGCCCAGGAGTGAACAGTCCAATTACATCCCCACACTGTAGGAGTAGTTAGTGCAAAGCAGAAGGCAATGGATGTGGGCTCCTGGCTTGGCAAAGAGTGCCACGTCCATAGCATTCTAGAAAGAGAGCTCAATAGCCCTAACTGTAACCCTACCTACTAGAGTGCTGTTGTGGGTCTGTGAGCTGAGGAAGGCTGCAGAGGTAAAAACACATGCTCTCCAAGCCCCACCTAAACTCTCCTGGTCTGGATGTAAGCCCAAGTAGGGGGAAAGGACCACAGAAATTCTGAAATGAAACATCTTGGCCTTCAGGTAGGTAAGGGCTCAGAATAAGGATTATGTGGACTTGGCAACTTAAAGGTATCTGTTGAGTGTCCAAGCTTGTGGGCTGATATCCACATGTATAACACAGAGTCCAAAGTTTTAAAAAGTGTAGAGTGCCAGAAACAAGGTCTATGACATGATCATTAATTACCTAATTATTTTGGCATAAAAATGCTTGACAGGAGAGGAATAGGGGAAGTTCAAAAGAGCCAGGAAGAATTTGGATTGGAGCCCTTCAGAAACTGTGTCTCCTTTTGGCAGAGCTGGCAGAGCACTGGGAGGGGCGGGGGGGGGGGGGATAGGGCAGTTCTCCCCAGAGCTTCCCGGGCAAGCCAGCTTTGTCCCCTAAGTCTTACTGATTCTTCAGTTCAGTCTGGGAGGTTCCAGGAGACGCACACCAGGAGATACAGCTGGGCCTGTATCCTAAAAGCCTAATATGTGGCCTCCTCAAAATTCCTGTAGCTTCATTCTAGTCTTGGGGGTGGGGGTAGGGATCCCTGAGTCCTGAAACCTGAGCCAAGCCTGGCTTAAGTAAGTGCAGCTTTTAGGAGAGTTTTCTCAGGCTACAGCTTCCGGAGGGCAGGAGGGAAGGCCTCAGAGGGGTCGGGGTCTCCAGGGTAGAGTTCACTGCTCTCCCTGTTGACCTTCCTACCCTGCAGGTGGTGTTCTCACAGGTCTGCAGGAGGCTTCCAGGTCTGCCAGGGTTCACTAACAGCCTCTCTGAAAAGAGGCTTGGCATCATCCATTTGGTGAGGGAGAAACTGAGGCCTAGGATGGTAAAGAATGCATTCTTCTAATTATGAATGACAACTGCTGGCCCAGACCATGGAGACAATCAAATGTTTCTTTCTTTTCTTTTGAGGTTCCTCTCCTACCCTTCGATTTCAGAAAATTGTCCAATGGTTCCACCAGGGCAATGGCCCATCCCACAGTTTGCTCAAGTACCACCATACTGTAGGTGGAGCCGGGGAAAAGACGGCAAGAGGTGGGCCATGAAATTCAGACACCCTGTGTCTCATCTGGTGTCTACTGTGAGGCAATGGAAGAACAGGATTGTCTGTAGTGGCTCTCAGCATGCCCAGTGTCTGTGTGGCTCTCCCAGTATCATGACAAAGGGATCTTCGAGTCTCCACATTGAGCTTATGATAGGCCACCTTTGACAAGAAGGTCCTGTCAGCAAAGAGACTATGAGAGACGGCTGGGTGAGTGCCAGGAGTCTCAGGCAGGAGCAAGGCTACAGAGGTGCATGAATTTTGCAGATTTCATGGTGTTGCTGAGGAGCAGACCTGGCACTCGCCAGGGAAATGGGAGATGTGTTTTGCCGAGGATGCCCTCTGGGAGTGTTCCTGGTAATACTAGTATTATTTCTCAGAAGTCCCTGGCTAGGCTCTGGCTCTCCCACCATTTCAGGGAGGAACTCGAAGAGGCATAGAACAGAACCCTGGGAAGTGCAGCACTGCTACAAATGGTCCCCACCATCCTTCTCAGCTGCAACCAGTCCCCCAAAATACTTTTTGATTTTATACATGTTTCCATGGCAACCCAAGTCCCCATCAGCCAGAGAGTTACCATGGTGAATTCTCTTGGCTCTGTCCACAACTAAGGCAGGCTCTGTTCCTTAGCTGGCAAGCTAGGCTCACAGGGAGTGAGGTGAAGAGAGAACCGGGGCTGGAGCTGGCCATGGGCACTCAGGGAGTCTGCTAACACCTGCTTGGACCTAGTAGGGCGGTCTCAGAGCAGTAATTGACCTGGTTTCCAACAAGCTTGAGAAACACTGGTGCAAGCTGTCTAAAGTCCTCAGTCCTCCCTCTAGTCACTGACAGCACTCTCCCCCCAGATGGCACACCCCTGTAGCTGCTTCTCCCAGCTGATGTTTTCCTTGTTTTGAACTTCTCTAAGAATCTATCTCTAATTCAATCTGTCTTCCACAGCTCCAGTCCTCAGCACCCTCCTGGCATTTCCAGTCTCAGTTAACAGTGTCCAGACAGCTCCTGGCCGATAGTCCATGTCTACGCCCTGAGCAGAGTTGGTATTCAACTGCAGTGTCATAGCTGCATCCACAGACCTGTGCCTGTGTCTCTCCCTGAGTGTCTGCCTAGGTCCTCTCTTCCCCCAGTAGGTTAGGGACTCTCTGTGGGCAGGGCCTGTTTCTTTGCTCTGCATTTCTGTGCTGAGCCTGGCTGAGGATTCAGAGTGTTGGGAGCTGAGAGTGGACCACACTGGAGGTGGCTGATAGCAATGGGCCTAACACTTCCACTTGTGAAGAGGAGGAGAGAAAGATGTGGTTGAGTCTCACTTTAGGAGAGGCTAGGAATAACTACGAACTCTGCTTCAGGGGCTGGAAAGATGGCTCAGCAATTTGGAGCACTTGTTGCTCTTGTAGAAGACCCATGTTTGATTCCAGACACCTACACATGGTGGCTCACAACCATACCTAAATCCTGTTCCAGGGGCTCCAACCTCCTTTTCTGGCCTCCTCAGACACCAGGCACACGTGCGACACACATACATACACACAGGCAAAACACTCAAGAAGAATTCTGCCTCAGCCATTCCATCGTCTCCCATTGTTCCTGGTGCTCTCCAGCATTTGATCATCTCTAGCTACTATGCCAAGAGAAGGAACAGAAGTGAAATCTGGTACGTGTGTGCCTCCCACGACTCTCCCTTACAAATGCACTCTTGTTTTACTCATATATGCCACGGCCCATCTGGGGGTCTTGTCTGCCCACATGCAGGAAGCCTTGGACTCCAATCTTAAGAGCAACCTACAAAATATGGGGACAAGATCTGAATTTTTTTTTTAACTTTTGTTGCATTCTCACAGAGCCTAAAACAATGCATTCATTAAAAAACAGCGAGAGTGTATGATTAAACTCACTTTTTTTTTTAGCCTGTGAAAAGTGTTATTTCTAAAATTAACAGCAGTACTTCTGAAAAGCCAAGAATCAGGCTTGTATTTGACCCTAATGCCTGTTGGCCAGAAGAGCTTTGGAACACCACTGTTCACTCCATCAGGCTACAGAAACAACAGAGCACAGGTACCTGGGCATCTCTGGGGCTATGAGCTCATATAGCAGAACTTTTTTTGTAGTATGCATATCAGACCTGCCTTCCGGGATGCAGAATTCAGCTCTCACTATAGAGACACAGGTTACCGAGCTCTTAAAGTGCCCCAACTGTCCCATTTGCAGGCCCACTTTGTTTCTGTGGCCTCTTGGCCCCCAGACACCTATGTTAAGGCTACAGGTGTCTGGAGTACGATCACTCATGGTAGTGGGCTCAGATAAGTAACCTAAGCCCCATGTTCCTCCACTTCCTGCTTTTCAAGTGTGAATTCTGAGGACAGTAAGCCATGTTTTGTAGTATTGTGAGGATTTGTGGACCTACTATGCAAAGGTAACCCAGCAATGCCTAGCACAATGAAAATGTTCTAATATCTAAAGTCTGGGTAAACTGGCCTCACAGCCAGTTCCCAGGGACCTCTGTGTTGTGTCCTGAGGAAAGGAGAAGTAACATGAAAAGGAGAGAGGGCACTGCTCAGGGTAGGGATGAGAAAAGATGTGGAGGTCAGGATGACAAAGCTAGTCTTATGTTACCCACCTTTCTTTCATAAACTGGGGCTAAACTTCATGCAGATTCAAGAGCCTTCTAAGGGCTCTACCTCAGGCCTACATGACATGACTCACCAGAGATAAAGGCCAGTGACTAGATAAAGGACTATGACTAGTGGTATGGTTCCCCATGGGATCTCCTAGACAAGGGCCCCTTTGTGGCCAAGTCCACTGACCAGACAGTTGGTATACTGTGTGAGGAATGCACCGTGTCCAAAGAGGTCCCCCTCCCCCCACCATCCACACAACTGTGTCTTCTGTTGATGACAAGTACCCCCATCCCAGCAGCAACTAGGAAGAATGGAGCAAATAACCTCTACTTGGAAGAGATGCATAAGCTGAGGACCCAGGAGGTAAAATGAGTTGTTCAGGGTCTCAGAGAAACACTGTGGACCAAGTGTACAGTCCTTGCTATTGGAAGAGCTTGGTTTACCATCTCACCTGTGTCATGCCAGCAGAGGTGGGTAGGGAGGCAGGTACAGGGTGGTCAGTTATGTACAAGGGTGCTTTAACATGTGGGAGCTCTCAGTTGAGCTCATAAAAAACTGAGTGGAGTAAATGTCAATAAGGCAACATGGAACACCAAAATGTAACATGAGTCACATGGGGGGCAATAGTATCCTCCTGGAAGTCAAGGGTCAATTACTATTATTATTCTTTAATCTTGTATATGTATGATGTGTGTGTTTGAATATGGGTGGGTGTCAGCCATAGTACATGTATGATGGTCAGAGGACAACCTCTGGTGTTGGGCCTTCCCTTCCACCTTCAGACCGTGCCTCTATTAGTGACCACTACATACGCCAGGCTGGCTGGCCCACTAGCTTCCAGTGATTTTCCTATTACTGTCTCAAATCCTTGTAGAGGGCCTGGGATTACAGATACCTACACTACGGTGCCTCACTTGTACATGGGTTCTAGAGATCCAAATGCAGGTCATCAAGTTTGTTCTGCAAGCACTTTACCTACCAAACCATCTCCCCAGCCCCTCAGGGACCAATTCTACACTTCTGTGATCTCAATCATGGTCTTGGCTCAGTCAAACTTGTTGCCTAAGTAAGTGAACTAAGGCTCTTTGGGGGCTACATTTAACTCTTCTATTTGGGCACATGTGCGGTGGCCATGATCTACATCACAACTACCCAGCTCTGAGAGTACCACACTAGCCTTTTCCGAGACTCGAGATGGCATAACGGCTGTAGCCCTCACTATCACCACCACCACCAAATGCCTCTGCAATCACCATCACCCAAACCATCTTACCCTCCTCACATCCCTCATTTTTCTACTATCATCCCATCACTGGTCATCACCATCAGCACCATCACCATCACCATCACCATCATCACTATCTCTAACGCCACCACCAACCATCATTGTCACTCTCACTGCTGCGGCCATTGCCATGGTCTTCACCACATCTTCCCACTTCCGACAGTGTGATTGCCTCTCCTTCTTCCCTGAGTTCAGTTTGTATGAATCTTGTGGACTGTAAGTTCAGTTAAAATTACTTGGTTTTTTGACAAATGGCATTATTACTAGAAAAGTTGAGGATTTTGTAGTTTTTAATCAAACGTACATGCTTTACATATAAGAAACTTATGTATAGGCAAAATAAAGTTTGTCAGTTTTATTTTTAAGTGAATATGAAAAATACACATATATATGAAAACTTTAATGAATGGGAGCACAAATGATCACATCTTGTCACTGAAGACCTTCTGTGGGGTCAGAGGACAAGTTCTCTAGGACCACGGACTCTGTTCTTCCCAGAATTCCCCTGGCAGGTTGCTCAGCTTCTCTACTTTGATTGTCTCCCTGGAGCTTATTCATGGCCCTGATGGGGAATGTCCTTCTGTATATGTTTATCTTATTGGTTGTTGAATAAAGCACTGTTTGGCCAATGAAGCAGAAAGATAGTTGGGACTAGGAGTTGAGGAGGATTCTGGGAAATGTAGTAAAAAGAAGTCTTGTGATACAGGCAGGAAGTGACATAGCAAGCAGACTCATATATAAGCAGGGACAAGAAGGAAATCGTCCTCTTTCTCTTCCTCTTGCTCTCTGCTCTGGAGTCCCATGTGACCGCCAGGTGAACTGTGTCCTCCATAAGATAAGTCTTATGATTATGGCTGATAGTTAAGACTGAGCTAGCAGATGAGAAATCCTAGTCATTGGCCAAGCAGCATTTGTACCTAATATAAATCTGTGTGTGTTACTTGGAACCTTAACGTGGCGGCAGGGCTCTGGCGGATTGAGTAAAGACTTATAGTTACAAAATGGTGGCGGCAGGGCTCAGGCAGCTTCGGCAGAAAGACTTATCGTTGCATGACCCCCCAGCTCTCACATCTGCACTGTCTTCCCCTTTCTCTGGAGCATCATGCTGTCACTTGAATGGCTCTGACAGTCTTGGAGTCTTCCAGGTAGGAATCTATTTACTCCCCCATTTACTCTTCAACAGCAGCCTGAGTGGCTTTCACAAACACAAACCTGATTTTATTCCTCCTCTTAAAACCTTTCCTGGAACCGGGTAGTGGTGGTGCATACACCTTAATCCCAGCACTTGGGAGGCAAAGGCAGGTGGGTCTTTGGGTTACAGGCCAGCCTGGTCTACAAAGTGGGTTCCAGGACAGCCATGGCTACACATGTCTCATAAAATCAATAAAAACAAACAAACCAAAACCAAAAACCAAACACACCTTTCCTCTCCTTCCACTGGGCTGGGGTAGGGGTGGGGCATTCAGAATCTTGATCCTAACCTATAAGTCCTCGCTTATTCCAGACCCTGCCCCTAGCCACCCAGCCTCAAGTTGCACCTCTTCTGCCTTGGTGACCTGCTGCTTTCCATAAATACTTGAACTCACTTAGACATCAGTACCGCTTGTTGCTTTACCTGGTTAGTTTCTGCCCAGCCACAGGGCCCTGGTTGACCATCTCCTGCTCCAAGAAGCCCTCACAAGCCTTGTAACCTGAATCAGTGTACTTTCTAATTCTCCTCCAGGCTTGTGTTTTGTGAACCAGAATGGAGGAATTATGATTAGTTCTAGAGGGCTGGGTATAGGCAAGGAGACCTGGAGGATTGCCAGGCTGGACAGTGAGTCAGGACTGATGAGCCAAGAAATCCAAAAGGTCACTGTCCTAGCAAACAGCTAGCTCTCTAGCCTAAAGGTTCTGAGATGCCTGGTAGCAAACACCACATTTCATCCTTAAAATGCCTGGCCCACTTGCACCCAAGCACAGAAGATGCAAAGATCACTAGGACAGCAGAGCAGGGATGATGGCAGCTGTAGGTGAGGCCAAGGCACTGTGAGCAGGCTAAAAACACAGAATTTCCCCTGCCTACTCTGAAAGATGGCCTTGGACATCTGCAGACTTGGTCTCATCTCCTGCACCCCACTTTCACAATCCTTGCTTTCCTCCAGAGGGAAACTGAGTCAGTTTTCTATTCCCAGGAAACTTCAGTGAGGGGGTAGGATATGAAACTCAGTTTCTTGGATTTGAGGCCATAGTCTATAACAGAACTCACACTGGCCCATCCAAGGCTATTGGGGCTTTTGTCCTGCTCTGGGGTGATCTCATTTCCCTACACTTGGGACTGTTGCCAGCAGAGGTTCCTTCATCAACATCTCAGGTCCTGGGGAGCATTATATGAACGTCTGCGGGTAGGAGAAACTGTGGAGTGTTTTTTAAAGAGTATTTATGAGGTTCAATAGCCACAGGGAGGGAGGGAGAATGTGCTTATCACTCTGTCCCCAAACCTCAGTGGGTACATTTTTAAAATGTGCACACCAGGCCAGCAGCAGCCATTTGCTGAGGTGACAGGCTGCATGTCCTCCCAACCCCAGGGTGACTGCCTAAAACAAATGTCATGGGACAGGAACGGAAGTCAGAGATCTGGATCTAGAGCTTGTGTCTCCCACTCATGGGTTGGGTGACTTGAGGCTAACTGTACTTTTGGGCACCTCAGTTCCCTCTCCTGTTGAACAGGAGATTGGATGGTGTTCACTGAGATCTCATCCTACTCTGACAGCCTTGGGTCATCTTCCAGAGGGACAACTCATCCCACACCTTCATCTAAAGGACGTGCTGTGTGTGCCGAGGTAGAACACCCTAACTATACAACCAAGTAGGGAAGTGGGGAAGCAGATTACACTGGATCAGGAAGATGGGGATTGTTGGATCAGGAATCAAGGGAACTCAAGTGAGGCCATGGCTTGCTTGGCCTCATCTGCAAAATGAAGGGTTTGCACATCACCCCTCAGGTCTCTCTGGCTGTAACCTGGTGATGCTGTGGCTTGCCCCTGAGTTGAAGTAAGCATCCATAACCTCAGGAGGGTTTAACCAGCTCCAGTGGAAAGGTGTCTAGACCTCACCATCACTTGGTGCCCTCACTTCTCTTCATGGCTTGAATATCTGAATTCCATTCTGAGAAACCCTGACTTAGAACATTCCAAAGAGAGGCAGCCGTGCTGGAGCTCAGATAGAGTCCCATGAGGCACACATCCTTCAATCTGAAGGTCCTTTAGGTCTCCGGCTAAGAAGCAAGGAGAGTAAGGAAAGGTCTTCCCTGCCCAGGAAGCCATTGGCCTTGCCTCACTTGCCTTTCCCCTGACAGGTGGGTGTTGTCTTCCAGGTCAGCAGTGAGTCCAGGATGTCAGGTACCCTAGATGTGCATGGAGCAGATGTCCTCGAGCTCTGCCCACATCACTCCCAGGTGTCAGTTATCATACAGGCAAGCCGATAAAGTCTCATCTCCATTCTTTCTGCTACTACCATTTTCCCCTGAGATTCCCTCCCTCCGCAGAGGGACAGAAGGGACAGTTGCTCTGACACCTCATCACCCATCCCCCTCTCCATCTGTTTTTTTCTTCCAGACATATTTCTCCTACATACAGAGCTGCCTGAGATAATGTAGCTTTTTTTTTTTTTTTTCTTTAAGGAGGGAGACAAGACAGGAGAGGGTGGAGAGAGATTCCCTTTCCAGTGATGTCTGGCTCAAGCTGATGCTACTGTCAGTTTGTACTCCCTGAACATATGGGAACCAAGGAACCTGAGGAGGTAAGAGATTGACACAGGGGGGTCCCTTAGCCCTGGCAACCTGCTCATGTGGCCTCAGACCCCATCCAAACGATCCTCACCCACCCTGTCATCCAGAGTGTCTGCTTCTTACTTCCTCTGCACAGGAATTCAAAGAATCAAAACAGATACTCCGAGGAGTCAAAGAGTGGTGCATGCCTTTAATCCTGGAATTCGGGAGGCAGGGGGATCTCTGCTTGGGATTAGCCTGGTTTACATGATGAGTTCCAGCCAGCCAGAGCTGCTTGGTAAAACTCTGTTTCAAAACAAATGAGCAAATAAAAACAAAACAAACAAAAGTATTCAAAAACCAGGAAAGGAAAGCTGAGTCCTAAATATCAAGAAGAGTAGTTCAAGACAGAGGGAATGAATTAAAAAACAAAACAGAAACAACTTTTATATTAGCCCAGATAATGGAGACATGACTATATTTGTGAAGCAGGCAGTGAAAGCTTTAAGTGTTGGTAGGCCTGGGGTCACTCTGGGGCCGACAAGAGATAGAGAGAGGCAATACTGACCTCTTAATGGAGAATCTCTGACCTGGTTATAGAAGCTAGGAATCCTGAGTGCCCTGGGCTCTCCTCACCTTCTGTCTCTCAGCCAAGGGAAGAGCAGTGGTGACCAGATGCCTCCAGGAAAGGCTCCGACTGGCTGACCCGTGCTCTTGCCTTTGGCCCTGCAGAGAGGCAGATACAAGAGGAGAAGGATGCTTCCCTGAGACTGTTCCTGGTGGCTTCCTATAGATGATGGTGCCTGTAGTGCTTGGGACAGGGGCAAAGGATTGGCCCTAGCCTGTTTCTGAGAGCCTCCAGCACAGCACATCTGTCTGTTTGAGATTTAAGGGTGCAGTTTTCCCATTTCCAGTCACTTTTGACTGCAAGAATCTGCTTTGATTCCTTGAACTCACAGGCAGAGGAAGTGAGGGAGCAGAGAACTCTGGGTGAGTGGCTGAGTGAGGCTCGTTTAGATGGAGACCAAAGCCAGATACACAGTTGGCCAGAGGCAAGGAAGCAAACTCCATCATCTTCTAGCAAGTGGCTGAACTCTTGAATAAGAGTGCTGGGACCTGACAAGGTTGGACCTACGCTAACAGTGGATGCAAAGAGTGGAGGCCACCAAGAAAAGGCGATGCAGGTTTCTCTGAGCACAGCAAAGGGAGAGGGACAGAGAAGATGAGGGGTCACTTTGGTAAGGAGGGGAGAAAATTGAGAAGGAAGAACTACCAGATGGATGGATACTGGTGCTGTTCCATCAAAGGCATATTTGAGGCAGGCAGCACTGGTGTGTCTCACTTATGTGTGTCTGGCAGTCTGGGTGGCAGCTGGAAGAGAGCTAGCATCCTGGGGGACTCCTGCATATGCAGAACCTGGGGAACAAAACACCTGGTGGACATGGGACATGAGATAACACACAGGGACAGAGGCATTCAGGAGATGGCAGCTTGGAAACAGGAGAGAAGGGAGGGCTGGAGTGGACCAACAGCAGGCTAGAGCTGAGAGGTTAACACGCCTGGGGACTCAACACTATCAACTCTGGTTTAAACTCTGTCTGACCCCAGTGCCTGTGTATGTGGCCACTACAGTCTATGTCCTTTCTCTGATGACCCCAAGGGAATAAAGCAGCGATTTAGGCTATTTCTGAGTGCTTGGGTTGAGAGGCTGAAAACATTATAACTGATCCACATATGCAGGGGAAATCCAATCCTTGCAGAGTGTGAGAAAATGGCAGGAATCCACCCCTTGTCCTGGCTCAGACTTGGCTCCCCCAGCTCAGAAGCAGAGCTGGCTCCTCTGGGATGATTTTCTTCCTGCCAGTCATTTGACACTCCATCCCCTAAGGCAAGGCTGGTCCCACTCCTACTAGCCCAACACCTCCAGCC